TAATTTATAAAATTCACAATATCATGTTTACAACGAATCAAGATGACTTTTCATCTACTTAAATGTCTTTAAAATACATTCATCACTTATGCTGCAAAGCAAATCATTTTCAAATATGCATAACAATCATTCATAAATTTGTTACCCAACCGATTTCGAAGATCGTTCTTGATTATCTTCATTGGCGAAAATGCTCTTTTGCAGCTTGCATTTCAGCATATAAAGTCATACCAACTTCAAAAGCAAGTATTATGGTGAGTCTCGACAGTGGTCGCGTGGGCTTTGGTATTTTTTTGTTTCTCCATTAATGAAAGGACCAATCCCAGCAAACATGTATATTTGTATGGCCTATGTGTTTTTTTTTAATAGCATTTGATATCATTATGTGTTATTAAATAAATTAAAAATGAATTTTGTTAATTAGGATTTAAGATTGATTGATTTAAATAATAAAATTCTTCCAGTCTAATGTAGGTGTGTCGACTATAATTATCGAAAGGTTGTCGCAAGGCCCAAACTTAAAATTTTTGTACCGAAAATATGTAGGTTCTTCACAAAATTCTCAGGCGAGGGTGTGTCGGACGACACACCCTCCCTTGCCTTAGGTCCTCCACTGGGGGTTTCGATGGCTTGGGTGCCAAGAAACCCCTCCTAGAGCATGTACTTTGGTTTTTTGTGGCACTCTCTATTTTATTGCCCCATTTTATTACCTCTTTTTCGTTTCTCTTTTCTTTTCTTTCTCTTTTTTTTTCTTTTTGAGGCGGGTATTAGAGAGTAAAAACACTTTCCACTTAAACATTTATCGACCAATGCTCTCTTTTTGAGGAACTAACTCCAACACTACACTCCATTTTGCATTCCTAGCAAGAACCACACACAAACCTCCTATGCAGAACCTATATGGAAACTCAACGGTAAGAAATCCGAGACACACGGGCGACTCGTGTTTGGAAACGAATAAAGGATATGGGAATCGTTCTACTAACACCTTTAAGCTCACACGAACAGAGCTCCTAAATGAGAACGACCCACGGAGTCACAAGGCTCAAAGGGGTTGACTAAGGGATGATGCATTTCAGGACAATCAACTTTTGGGCGTGAACTCATCCTATGCCTCCATCATACTTGTTGTGATGCTACACACCGTGGTAAGAGGGAACTATCACACCGAAAGAAACGAACGACTCAAAGCTCACAGGCTAGCTAGTTACCCAACCATCTATTCCAATTCACAAACACGATGCATGACAATTGTAAACAACAAGTGATCAAGTCAAGACATCCATTCATTTATGCACACTTGAGAACTAAACTTTTGCCCTATCATAATGAACTTCTCAGTCATCATCATAGGATATACTCGATCACATGCAACAATTCAAGATCAATACCACAAACACGAGAATTTCCTACCATTCGGCAACTTTGAACAAGCATACTAGTACACAACCCCCCACACTTAAACTCGACATTGCCCTCAATGACGTAAGAAAGGGGTAGAGTGATGTTACCACTTGGTCTTGGTGAGCGAATGTAGGAATCGAACCGAGGTAGGATAATTTGAGCTTCAAGGAGAGACAACAAAAAACACACACAAGCACGATACGAGTCGCTCGAAGCGAGGTTATTACAAGCACAATACATAGTAGTAATGGTTCAAACTTGCTAACCTTCGTTGGGTTGCCTCCCAACAAGCACTTCTTTAACGTCTTAAACTTGACGGTTGGGGATATATCACGAATTCAAACGTGATGCCACCGAAAGTGGATCCACCACACTCCCGAGGTGGGGCTTGTAGCCTCCCATCTTAGGCTCGTTGAGTTGTCCCTCTTGGTTGGCCAACATTGTTTCGGCATCCCCTGTCTTCCGGGTCAAAGCTCCCTTCATCCTTCTTCTCCAAGCATTCAATCTAGGTCCTTTGGCTTAGAAACCTTCTTATCTTCCTGCTCAACATCATCAAAGACAGCACAAGTAATAGTGGGGTTTGCCTTGAGAGGCTTTCCTCCACTCTCATTCACATCATTGGAAACTACCCCCTTCACTTCATCACTCCTCACCCTAGGATCAATTTCAAGCTTGATTCTCTCCTTACCATCCCTCAAAATTAGGGTTCCCTCATTAACGTCTATCAATGACTTGGTGGTTGCAAGAAAGGGACGACCGAGGATGAGGGGCATATCCGAGTCATCACTTATGTCGAGAATCATGAAATCGGTCGGATAGGAAAACTTGCCCACTCTCACCATCATGTCCTCCCCTATACCTCTCGAGCTAATGACCGAATGGTCGGCTAAGGTGATGCTAAGCTTAGAGGTCTTAAGTTCACCGACTTCTAACTTTTTGAAAATCTTGTAGGGCATCACATTCACACTAGCTCCTAGGTCCGCCAAGGCATTGTCTATATGGTGATCACCAATATCAAGAGGGATAGTATAGCTACCTGGGTCAGACCGCTTTTTGGGCAAGCGGTCGAGGCGGAAAGCCGAGCACTTCTCGCCAAGAGTTACGTTGGCGAGGCCTTCAAGCCTTGGCTTCTTAATGAGGAATCCTTTAAGGTACTTGGCATATCTTGGCATTTACGCCATGGCTTCGAGGAACAGGATGTTAAGGTGGAGATTGCGTAGCATTTCCATGAACACTCCACACTCATTGTCCAACCTCTCCTTGTACATCCTTGTGGGATAAGGAAGAGGTGGCACATACCCATCCTCCGGCAATGCCTTCCTTGCCTCCTTCCTCTCATTCCTCGAGGGCTTCTTCTCTCCCTTTTTCAGGGTGGTTTCTTCCTTGTTAGAATCCTCATTCTCCACCACTTCATTAGTGGCAACTTCCGGAACCACCTTCACACTTCTCACTTGAAAGTGCATTCACCCCAGCTTGATTGGGATTCGCCACGGTTTGGGAAGGCAAGGCTCCCTTGGGTCTCTCGGTGAGGAAACCGGCAAGGTTTCCGCACTTCCAAGTTTTGAAGGCTCCCTTGATGGCTACTCTCGATCGAATCACGATTCGAGTTTATCCTGGGAAGATTTTGCATAATCTCCAGATTATTCCGTATCTGGAGGTAGCGCTCCAGATAATGACCACCATCAGATGCCTCCAAGGCCCGAAAAAATTTCTCCGCCCTCCAATCTAGGGTTTTACCCGGAAGCAAACTCTTATCCCTTAGCGGGATTCCTTTCGATTTCACAATCACAAGCCGCCGACTCCATTTCTCCACGAAATCGACTATGCGGTGAACACTAATCCAATCCTACCATCTTAACAGAGCCGTAAACCCCCTGGGTTCTGCCGTAGAAACCCTAGCAGGGCTGGGAAATCTCAATTGCTCGACGAACACGAGGAGAGAGAACAGTGCATCCCACATTTTTTTTTAAATCTAAAGTCATGAACCATGAAAGTCTGGTCTGGCTTATTGACTCAAGTGCTTTTTTTTCTCTTTATTTTATTTATTTATCTATCATATTAAAATTTTTATCAATAAATTTTTTAATATTTCTCGAACCACTCTAATTTTTTATTAAGGATAAACATATTAATTAATATAAATTTTATTTTCATTGAATGTTAACAATCACAGTTACCAAACAATTAACATTTTAAAATCTATTTTCAACAATCCAAAAAATTAGAATCTTTAGATTGTTGACAATCCATAGATTTAAACTCATATTCTCCAAACGACCCATATATTACTATAACAACATTTTTAATTATTTAAATAACTCAACGTAGTCTTTAAAATTGAAATTTGAAGAATTTAATTATAATTTTTAGTACCAGATATTTTTTATTATGTTAATTCAAAATCAAGATAAATTAAGGAAAAATATTTTTAATATTATTTTAACCATGTGTTTTTATTATTAGAGTAACTCAAAAGTAGTTTTCAAAATTGAATTTGAAAATTTTAATCTTTTTTTTTTAACAAATTGAGAACTTATGAAAGTCAAAAGCACTAATTATTCAGCCATATAAAATTTTAATTTTGAAACTACAAAACTGAAATCATATTGAAATTAGCGGAAATAAAAGAACCATAAGATGAGAACTTCATGACAAGTTTACTAAAACTGATAAGAAAAAGTAAAATGTGAGCTGCAATCACTCTTAAAAATTGAAAAGAAAAATTTCAATACCAGCTGCATGCAGTGAGTTTCAAACTCTAAAGTCTGCAACCTGAAGGATTAAGGGTAAATGTCACATTTAGTCACTGAGATTAATAAATTGTGTTATGTTTAGTCACTAGAAAAAATTAATATCAATTTTGGTTGGAGTTGGACGGAAAATAACGGGAGAGTGACGAAATGTGAGATGTTTTAGTAATTCGAGTGACCAAAATTGATATTAATTTTTTTATGTGACTAAACATGACATGATTTAGTAATATCAGTGACCAAATGCTTTATATTTATGCTAAATTTTCAAACACCGATATTTTTTATGACTAATTTTCAAATTTTTCTGGCCCTACTAGACCATGTGTAGCACCGTCACTAAACGTATTATCGGGATACCAAACCTCACCATGTTTCTTGATGCTGTAAATCACAACTGATTTTATCTGAACACAAAATTTGTTAATAGCATTAATAGTAATGATGATAAAGACAAAGAACGTTACATTAAATGAAAGTCTCCTTGGAAAAATCTCAGAAAGTCTAAACTATTTTATAGGATTCGGTTTGCCGGTCTCTTAGAGATGCGTACGAGCGAGAGAATGTTTACAGTAAAGAACCATTGTTTTCGATGAGATCCTTGAAGAGGAGCAGTGGGATGAGCCTTCCCGCAATCGCATTCTCTTGCTGATACATTGTCTTTTCTGCATAGGTCAATGAGATCTTTGAAGAGAGTTTTGTGGACACAATATTCTTTTTCTTTGGACGCAGTGCATCAATTGTTTTCTTCTTTGTTTTTATTTTAGCAGGCGTGTGGGGACATAAAAAGGACCGATCGAGGGAGTAACAAGATCTATAAAAGGAGTGGGTAGGCAATACTAATTTCTCACCCTAAACACACCATACCAAAACAGCTATTAGGGTCACTTGGGAGGAGGAGAGTGTACATAAAGAGCTGAAACAGTGAGAAACAGAGAGTCAATCAAAGAAAAAATGGATTCCGGGTCGAAATTGGCGATGGCAGCTTTTCTGCTTCTGGCTATGTTGAGCTTCGGTGTTGACGCAAGACTTCCAGTGAAGAGCATTGTTAGGGGACCTGACTGCGTCGGCAAATCAGAAGATAAAGTATACAACACCAGAGTGGGACGTCTCGTCGACATTCTGGTGGACGAGACCAAAAATGTGAAAAAGGAGAATTACAACGATTATAGTTACGTTCACAGCTATCCCAACCGTGATGCTGGCTCGGTCATTGGCGGCGCCACTTGCGACAGGCAGCTCTGGAAACTAGATTGTTGGTCATGTCTGGTCACTGCCAAGAACAAACTAAAAGACAATTGCGGCCACACCCATGACGCTAGGATCGAACTCGCGGATTGCTCTATTTGGTACAAAATGATTAATTGACTTCACTCTGTATTATATGTATGTAAATGTGCACCTCTACCTCCTCTTGTTCTTCAAACTGATCCTGTAGCTTTTTATTTTTCCTCGTATTTTCCTCATATCTTTTCTTTTATTGTTGTTGTTACTGGTCGTGTTTAGGGTCTATCGTCGGTTGTTGTCCGCTTCCAATAAGGTTTCATGTGGAACCAGTCACGAGCAAAAACTACAAATACTTGTCTATGTTGCATATTTGTCCTTCAAATATATTATTAAAGAGATACTTCATGTAATGGCCATATTTGTAAATATTGTATCTACGTGGAACGGATACAGTTCTAACACCAAAGTGTTAGCACTATACTAATATAATTAATAGAGGCATTTTGGTAACTGCACCTAATAATCATCCCTTTCCATCCTACCGTCTCTAAGTTTAGCCCTCTTGCTTGTCTGAGTTGTCTCTCCTCTAGACCCACGTACCATCGAAGGGGGAGGGGAGAAGATTAAACTGCTACTCGGGATTTCTTGGGATTTCTTTTGTATATATATATCGAGTGAGGGTGAGGCGAAAAGTCATTAGGTTATAGTGGGGGTGGTACTGTTGCAGCAGATGTATTGCAAACTGACGTCTTTATTCATTGATAGAGAAGGAAATTTATACAAAGGATTCCTAACTAAAGCCATGTAACTCGGCTTTGATAACAACCCTCAACCCCTCAATCCCTGGGAAATAGCTCTCGCAACCAACAACCCGACTCTGCAAGTTCTATCAATTACAACGGCTACTGACTCCACTAACCAAGACATAAACAATAAGGACTGGAGCTGAAAAATACCAAACGACGTCACTTTAACTAATTGAACCGTGGCCTTCAAACACTGACGTGCAATCCTTTTCCAGACTGGATTCGGATTCAGTTCAACTTCCAACATTATCCTCCCCTTAACTGAATCCTCCTCCATTGGCTTCAGTCTTCTCTGCTTGCTCCTGCGTGTCTGAATGTTTCTTCTTCACATACTCCCAGCTGCTGGCGCAATCCTAGAAATGTATCCAGGTGGAGTGCCTTTGTCATTATGTCTGCTATTTGTTCATGGCTTCGACAGTATTCCAGTTCAATCACCTCTTCTTTAGCCAACTCCCTGAGAAAATGGAACCGCACATCAATGTGCTTGCTTCTGCCATGAAGCACTGGGTTCTTGGACAGCTTTATGGCAGAACTGCTGTCACAGAGAACCTTTGTGGCAGCAGACACACAGCTCTTCCATCCCATTTGATCCAGAATCTTCCTTAGCCAAACACATTGTGCAGCACAATATGATCCTGCCACAAATTCTGCTTCAGTTGTTGATAGGGTGACAACTGGTTGTTTCTTCGAGGCCCATGAGATGGCCCCTCCAGCAATGAAGAACACATAACCACTTGTTGACTTTCGATCATCTAGGTCACCTGCATAGTCACTGTCAGTATAGGCAATAAGATTATCATTTTCTCCTTGTCTCTTGTACCAGATGCCATGATCCATGGTGCCCCTCAGGTACCTCAGGTTTCTTTTTGCAGCAAACATATGTTGCCTGGTTGGTTCTTCCATGAATCTGCTCAATAAACACACAGAATACATGACATCTGGTCTTGTGGCACAGACATAGAGTAAGCTGCCAATCAATCTCTTATACTCAGTGGCATCCACCTTGATTCCATCACCTGCTTTAGACAGCTTTGTTCCAGGAGCTATAGGATTCTTCACAAAATTGCAGTCTGATAAGCCAAACCTCTCCAGAACTTCCTTCACATATTTTTGCTGGTTGATGAAGATCTCAGCCTCACTTTGATGCACCTCTACCCCTAGGAAGTACTTCATCATTCCTAGATCTGTCATTTCAAACTCATCCTGCATTGACTTCTTGAATTCTTCTATGAGATCAGTACTGCTGCCTGTAAACATGAGATCATCAACATAGATACTTACTAACAGAATGTCATTACCAGATCTCTTTATGAACAATGTGTGTTCATAATCACTTCTTTCAAAGCCAGCCCTTAGAAAGTAAGCCTCGATCCTGCTGTACCAGGCTCTTGGGGCCTGTTTTAAACCATACAGTGCCTTCTTTAGTTTGTAAACCTTCTGCTCTTCCCCCTTTACTTCAAATCCTTGAGGTTGTTCAATGTAGACCTCTTCAGTCAATTCACCATGCAGAAAAGCACTTTTTACATCGAGTTGGAATACTGGAAAGCCATGATGTGCAGCTAAAGCAAGGAGGGTTCTGATGGTGTCCCATCTGGCCACAGGTGCAAAGACTTCAGTGTAGTCTATACCATGTTTCTGTGCATACCCTTTGGCTACTAACCTTGCTTTGAACCTGTCCAGAGATCCATCCTCCTTCAGCTTGGTCTTAAAGATCCATTTAACTCCAATGGGAGTCACTCCTGCAGGTAATTCCACCAGAACCCATGTGTCATTCTTCTCAATGCTTATCATCTCCTGTTTCATGGCATTCCTCCAATTCTCATCTTGTATTGCTTCCTCAAAAGTAGCTGGATCATCACTCATGGTCTTAAAGCAATCTAGTCCTGCAAAATAAGTACAGTCATAGATTGCAAGATGCCCTGGTGGATGTCTGTTTCTTGGTCCTAGGCTTCCACTAGGAAGTCCAAGCACATCAGGATTATCATCCTCATCATCCTCCCCATAATCCTGAGATGCAGAAGGGCCTGTAGAAGCAATAGGGGTGACTGGTTCTGTTGCATCTGGAGTGTCATTATCACCATGTTCTTCCTCATCTTCAGATGCATACCAGGGCTCATCACTGCCATCCCACACTAATGGAGTCATTTCTGGTAGTTTTTCTGACTCCCAGATCCAGCCTTTGGTTTCATCAAAAACCACATCCCTGCTGATCACTATCTTCTTAGTGACAGGGTTGTACAACTTATAGGCCTTAGATTCAGTGGATAAGCCTAGAAAGTTGCACTGTATGCTCTTGTTATCTAGTTTCCTTCTCAAATGATCATTCACATGCACGTAGGCTACACATCCAAACACTCTGAAGTGACTGACAGATGGAGGTTTACCTGTCCAAAGCTCATGTGGTGTTCTTCCTGAGTTGGCTGTTGTTGGACTCCTGTTCAACACATGACTGGTCCAAGCCACAGCCTCTGGCCAAAATGCTGCAGGAGCCTTTGCATCAGCTAATGAACACCTGACCATGTTCATTATGGTCCTATTTCTTCATTCAGCAACCCCATTCTGCTGGGGAGTCAATGCAGCAGTGAGCTGCCTTCTTATACCATCATTCTCACACAGCTCCTTGAATTCCTTCAAGAGAAATTCTCCTCCCCTGTCAGTTCTCAAACACACAATTGATTCTCCTGTTTCCTTCTCCACTTGAGCCTTATACTTCTTGAAACAGCTCAATGTTTCTGACTTTGCTTCCAAGAAATACACCCATAATTTCCTGCTGAAATCATCAGGGATAGTCAAGATATACCTCTTTCCTCCATTTGAAACTGTGGTGATTGGGCCACACAGATCAGCATGGATCAATTGGAGTTTCTTAGTTGCTCTCCATGTGCTTTGTTTAGGGAAAGCAGCTCGATGTTGTTTGCCAATCTGACAGGTGGAGCAGACTCCCAATTCTCCTTGCAGTTGGGGAAGATCCTGCACAGCTTCCTTCTTCTTCAACTGCATTAGACTTTGACCATTGAGATGACCAAACCTCCTATGCTAGAGAGTTAATGTGCTGTTATCTGTTTGATGCATACAGCTATGATCCCCAGTGACATTGTTAGTCTGCTTTTGGGAGTGCAAGACAAACATTCTGTTGGTTTTCATAGCTGTTTGCAACAGAAGACCTTTCTCATCATGATAGATTCTGCAGATTCCTTCCTTGATGACAAAACTGAGCTGTCTTTCTTGGATTTTCCCTATACTTAGAAGATTGGTTGTAAGTCCTGGAACATAGGACACATCTCTGATAGATAGAGATACCCCATCCACCACAAGTCTTATGGTACCCTTGCCTGCAACTGCCATCTTTGTTCCATTCCCTAGCTTCACATTGCAATCTTCATTTTCTTCCATGGAGGTGAACCACTATTTCTCTCCACTCATGTGGTTGCTGCAGCCACTATCAAGAAACCACCATGTATCTTTCTTCTCACCAGACTGTGTGTCTAGTAGAGCCATTGAATTCTGCAGGCTCTTTTCCTCACTTTCCTTTTTCTTCCCAACAAATGCCATAAGAAGAACATCATCAGTCATATCAGGATAGGATGATTGTGAACAATTAGGATGAGACTGGTGACTGGAATAGTATGCCTGCTGGTTGTTATACCACTCAGGGCATTCTGCCTTGAAATGGCCTAACTTGTGGCACTTGAAGCATTCCACCAAGTCACGATTCCAGCCTCTCCCTCGACCCCTGCCTCTACCCTGATACACTCCTATACCTAGACCCCTTCCACCTCTTCCTCCATAATCATAGGTCACTTTCAAAGCATGTTCTTCTTCTGAGGATTGCTTGACAAATTTTTGCTCATGAACCAACAAAGAGCTTTGCAATGCCTCAACACTCAGTTCATCTATATCCTTAGATTATTCGATTGAACAGACTATGTAGTTGAACTTTGGAGTCAGAGTTCTTAGTACCTTTTCCACTATCTTCACATCTGGCATATCGTCTCCGCAATTTCGCATTGAGTTGGCCACTGTCATCACCCTTCCAAAGTATTCTGCCACTGATTCCCCTTCTTTCATTTGCAACAGTTCAAAGCTTCTCCTGAGACTTTGAAGTTGTGATTTCTTCACTCGATCACTACCCTGGTACCTTGTTTTCATCGAATCCCAAAGCTCCTTGGCAGTTGACTTCTGAGTAATTGTTTTCAAAATACTTTTGTCAATGGAACTGAAGAGATAGTTCTTCGCTTTGAGATCCTTCAATCTCTTGTCATCCAGGACTCTTTGCTGTGCTTCAGTCAGCACCTCATTCTGTGCAGGCTCCCTTATTCCTTCCTGAACCACTGTCCAATATTCCTTGGATCGCAGTAGATTCTCCATCAGCAAGCTCCAGTGGTCGAAATCACCATCAAATTTGGGAATACAGACCTGGGCAAAACTGCTTTCACTCATATTGATCACTCACCAGGAATTGACTTGCCTCACTTGTTCCCTCGTGTTTCCCAACCCAGAAAAAACACTCAATCAACTTTT